AACCAATGACCCGAGTACTGCCAGGCGGAAGTGCTAGGCATTTAGCCACAGTGCTGCCCGTACATAAGTTGTACCTGCACATCTGCAGTCTTCTCTTCTCTACCTCCAAGTGCAGAATTTATACAGGATCTCTCAGCTCTGAAAAGCAGGGGGTAGAGAGCTGAAACTACACACTGCAGAGCTCAGTGAAGAGAGCTCTGAGAGTTGATTGGAGGAAAGAGACACCCCCCCCCCCCCCTCCACACAGCTCAGAGGAACAGAGCTGAGCCATTAATCTGCTGGAGGTCCCACCCCGTCACCATTTTTCTCTTGGTGTCAGGAAAACTTGTCAGAAGTGATTCATGCTGGTAGCAGAGGAATGAAGCTGCAGACAGAAATGACACTTAGTGCTCTTAATTGAGACAAGTACACACTATAGAGGGATATGCTTTCTTCATATTTCATGTCTGAGATTTACAACCACTTTCAGTAGTGTCAGAAGCAATAATGCTGCACAAGAACCTATAGCAATACAATAATCTTTGAATTCACCAATGCCAGATTTGTGTTAAATAAGCTGTGGTTGCTCAGAGTTATTACGTTTTACTTTTTGCTCTTTAGCCTACAAATATGTTGGTGCTCAGTTCTATTTAAAGAATTTAGTCTCCCACTTAAAGTATTTTTCCCATGGTATAATTCTTCCGATATGAACATTTTTGGGTTTTGTTTACAGTACTTGTTGAATAATGTATACTTAGCATTTATTTAAAAACAGGGAGGCACTTTGCTTAATGTAAATAGTGTGTAGCAAGCTCTGCAATGGGAATTTATCTAAATCTCTGATATATATGCACTTCTTCTGTAAATGGTCTTCGACTTTGCAAAGAATAAATGAAGTCTGCATGGAACAAACAGTGATTAGTACTACTGAGCTGTGGAACATGGGTGCAGTTCAGTGGGATGTAGCATAATTGGGTTTGTGCCATCCAAGAGATTAATTGAGGTGACAGGTGGCACTTATGGAGGTACAGGGGAGGCAGCACTGAGGCTGCAGTATCTATTATGGACACTGTTTGCAATGCATCTTCAGCCTTTGGGCCACACAGTAGCATTCACTCTTGGTACAACTCCCAACATAATGATCACACCTGAGTAGTAAACTTCAACTTTACTCTAGATTCATTACTTTTTGAGTCACTGACCAGAACAGATATGTCACAAGTAAAGTTAGAACTCCTGATATCATTCTTGTTTTGGATTCAAAAAGTATTGATGTTGAGGCATCAGGAGTGGTCAGCTGACAGGTGTACCTTAAACATACAGCCACTTTTATATGAATTCTGTATGTTACCCTACAAGAATGGAGCTGAAGGGTGCTTCAGGAAAGGTGCTTAAAGTGATTGTAAAGGCATTTTTAAAAAAAATAATAACAAACATGTTATACTTGCCTGCTGTGTAATGGTTTTTGTACAGAGCAACCCGGTCCTCCTCTTCTTGAGTCTCCCGCCGGCGCTTCTGGCTCCACCCCTCCACTGAGTACCCCAACAGCAGGCACTTTGCTATGGGGACTCCTGAGCAGGCTTTCCCCGACCTGCTGCTCTTTGTGTCCATTCACACACAGATGCAGCTTGGCCCCGCTCCCGGCTCTTTTCTCATTGGCTATGATTTGCTCCCGCTTCTGTCTCAGCCATTGAGGAGAGAGAGACCTGGAAGACCCGAGGCTCATGTGCGCATTGCTGGATTGTGATCATGCTCAGGTAAGTAGTTGAGGGGGCTGAGGGATCTGCTGCACATAGAAGGTTTTTTTACCTTGAGCCTTTACAACCACTTTAAAGATTTATGTTGGGGACAGGTGTAGCAACCAAATTATTAAGAAACAAAAACCCAAAATCAACGATCTGGATTCTTTCTCTCGTTAGACGCCGAAAAGGCGTTTGACAGACTAGCATGGGATTACCTAGAGGCAGTTCTGATTGGCATTGGACTACCTTCGCGTTTTTTGTCATTTATTCTGTCTTTATATAATGCCCCCACAGCACGAGTGCGAGTGAATGGCTGCCTTTCGGATTCCTTTTCAATCAGCAATGGGACTAGACAGGGATGCCCACTATCACCCCTCTTATTCATTCTTACTCTGGAACCTTTCTTGAACTGCATAAAAGATAATGATAACATTAAGGGGATTTTGATCAATGGCAAAATGCATAAAGTGGCAGCCTTTGCTGATGACGTGTTACTTTTCTTGACTGACCCACATATCACGATACCTAATCTGTTACAAGATTTCAAATTATTTCAGTATTTGGCTAATTTTAAAATCAACTTTTCTAAATCCCAAGCGCTTAATATATCATTGACTCCAGATGTGATTAGACAGGCGACACTAAATTTTCCCTTTACCTGGCAACGTGAAGCTATCACTTACTTAGGTATCCAACTACCATCCCATCTTACAGAACTGTATACAAAAAATTTTCTTCCCCTCTTACGTAACATCTCCAAAGACCTCCAGACATGGAACAAACCTTGGTTCTCGTGGTTTGGTAGAGCAGCAATTCTTAAGATGAACGTGCTCCCCAGAATATTATATTTACTACAGACAATACCAATTCAATTGCCAAATTCGTTCTTTCAATCGTATAAAACGCTCTGCTCATCCTTTCTGTGGTATAATAAACGTCCAAGAATTAGCTATGCCCAACTCACTATGCCCAAGCAGAATGGAGGTATTGGATTACCAGATATTAACCGTTATTACAAGGCTTGCCACCTAGCCAGGTTAGTAGACTGGACCACGAATCACATTCCTAAGGTCTGGGTTGGTTTGGAGGCTGATTTTTCTCAGACGCCTCTTTCTACCTCCCCATGGCTGAAAACTTCCCACGTCCCTTCTGAGTTTCGGAATCATCCACTTATAGGTCCACATTACGCTGTAGCTCACAATTATTCCAGAAAAAAGAACTTTCTTCCTCTCCGAGCCCTTTCACTCCGATCAAAATGAATCCAGACTTTGTTCCAGGGATGTCTCCAACATTTTCTCGCTGGGTATAACCGTGAGGATAACCTGACAGTACGTCAACTCTTCAAAGATTCTAAGCTCTTATCTAGCGAAGACATTACTCGGGCGTGGCCCTCCATCACTCTAACGCCTTGGATGTATAGACAATTACACCACTTTTTGCGTAACTCCCCACATTTACAGGATTTGTCAAGATCGCTTACTGCATTTGAGAAGCTCTGCTTTACAGACTCCCCTCAGCGGCATGTAATATCTAAGATATATTCTTTTTTGGAAAGTTCCAATACCTCTCATTTGCAGAGGGCTTGTATAGCCTGGCAACGTGATCTACAAATCCCACTCTCTCCAGAGGACTGGGACCGGATTTATGATCACATACATAAAGGTTCCATGTGTGTTTCTACACAAGAAGGCAACTACAAAGTATTTTCCAGGTGGTACAGAGTTCCATCTGTGCTTCATAAATTTGATCCTAGTGTTCCTAACTTATGCTGGAGAGGTTGCCAGGCAACAGGCACTCTTTTGCATATATGGTGGGAGTGCCCGCAACTGCAGCCCTTCTGGAGAAATGTTTTGGACATAATCGCACAAGTCACTACATACGCCCTAGACTTTACCCCAGCACAATGTCTACTCCATCATTCCTCTCTTCCTGTGAAGACCTATCGTAAGTCGCTTGCTTTACACATGATAAATGCGGCAAAACAGTGTATTCCTGTTCATTGGCGATCAGACCATATTCCCACCATGCGAGAGTGGATTCTTAGGATCAATAAGATCGCGGAAATGGAGGAGCTGATCTCAGTGGCGAAAGAACACCCCGAGCGATTCAGGAAGACATGGGCATGTTGGACTCACTTCCTATCTACTGAGACTTATCATGGCTTAATGAAGGAATGAGCGAGCAAGATTTGGTAAACTGGAGAACCTCTAGAACTTTCACCCCAGGAATAATTCCTTTACTGGACTTTAAAGAGATTATAACCTTAATTTAAGACAGCATCTGTTATAACCAGGCCGATACTATGTGATGTGATTGGTTTAGTTATACTTATTTAATTCTAATCCCCAACCCCCCCCCCCCCCCCCCTTTTTTTTTTTTTTTTTTTTTTTTTTTTTTTTTTCTCTCTCTCTCCCCCTATTTATATGTCTTCCTTATCCCACTCCTCCTCACTCTGATATTACTTCCCATACTCCTTTTCCATTTCCACTCGAGTCTCTTTCTTTTCTTTTCTTTCTCGTTTTAGCAACCCTTTTTCTCATATTCTAAATAGCAATATTATTTACAAGGATCAGAACACTTCTAGATGTACAAGTGTGATAATACTTTAGAAAATTAACCCACGATTTTTGGATACGGATATAGCAGACATATGTGCCTTGAGATAATTCGTTTGTCTTGCGCCTCATAGTCTTGCTGCTTGAGCTCTCTCTACATAGAGACTACTGTATACCATATTTATCGAACATTACAGATGGTAAATATTATTACTATGGTTATACTTTTTGCATATGCTTTATTGTGGGAATTGGATGCATGTTGCTCTAAAATCTATTCTAACGTCCTATTCCCGTCTGCGATACGGGAGAACATATATGAAGATGTGCACGGACTGCGATCCGTATCTGTCTATGATCTGTTTTGTCTTTCTTACTTCAATAAAACTTTTTTGGAAAAAAAAAAAAAAAAAAAAAAAAGAAACAAAATATGTATGGGTCAACTCACTTTTGTATACTAAACCTATTTTAGTTTTGGGTGGATTTTGCATTCAAATTCTTTTTTTCGGGTAACTTTGACCAGAGTGTACATAGTTTTCATTTAACTTTGACCCATATACATTGCAATTACTGCATTCAGAGCAAGAGTGTTGATACTGTAGTGGCAATCTTTTCTTTTCTATATAGAAAGCACACATAATTCTGTTAATGCTTAGCTTGCACTGTTTTTCATGTAGAGGAAGTGATTATGATCAGGCAACTTTCATTATCCTTACTTTGGCAGGATTTCCGCTATGCTGTGGCTCAAACATCCAAAAACCTCGGGAAACCAGTGATTGAGGACAGGATCCTGAATCAAATCCTGTACTACCTGCCACAGCTGTATGAACTCAACCGTGACGTACTGCGGGAACTTCAGGAGAGGATGTCTCAATGGTACTGTGCATATGCTATGTGCATAATAATAGTATCTAATATATACAAGGTAGTGATATGTACATTACACCTTTCATAGGATTAAGAATAACTCATTACTATTTTTTTTTTTTTTGTATAGCAATACCATATTTTATCAGCTGCAAATACTGCATCCTTCTAATCAGCACCTTCTACAATGCAAAATATTATAGACCAGATAAAAAACAAATGCGCACCAGTTCAGTCACACATTTACTTACAGTATCTTAAAGGGATCTTGTAATTTGCCCTTGCCATTTATTGTAAAATCTTTACTCTTACGGTGGTCCTGCCAGCAACACATTCTCACTTTCCCTTTGCTCACTTTATGCTCAGTTTAGCTGCTTGGAGTGAATGGAAATACCTGCGAACGTTTGAGTATGGAGGAACATGTGAGTCACTACCCGTGCTCTCACATGACATCACTTGCACATGTTGATTGGCCACATCTGTACCCACTGTTTTCATTTGCGGGTGGGGAGATAACTATTAGCCCCGTGCAAGCTCCAAGTTACTCCCAGTGGCCATTCAGACCGGTAGGGAAGCAAAGGCAAAGTATCAGTGTGCAGCTGTCTGTTTGTAATACAGTAAACCTGTGTTCTTTCTGCTGTCTTGCATAGGCAAAACACTGGCACACTTTAGTGAAGAACATAGGAACTCTGTGCATCATCTCTGTGACACAAAACAGCAATACTGTCCATATTTCTTCTTATGGTATTTCAAAATTATGATTGGCTTGTAGGAATGAGCACCAGAAGATTGCTGATATTTTTGTCAAGAAGGGTCCTTACCTTAAGATGTATTCGACCTACATTCGTGAATTCGATCGGAATGTGGCATTACTGGATGAGCAGTGCAAGAAGAACTCTGCATTTGCTGGAGTTGTTAAAGACTTTGAGGTAATGACAAGTTAAATGTTTTCTAATAATATAGTAATATTTTTCTGAGATATTTGTTTAGTAAAATGGCTGTGCTTTGTGTCCTGTGATCTTTTCTATTCGGGAATCCCTTGCTGATAAAGAGTAGGTCCAGCCAAAACTTTTTTATAGTTTAGAATAGAGTGGAGAAGGCTTGCAGCTATTGCTGCATTTTACTGTTATTCAGAGCTGTTAGAAAGATTTCGCTGCACTTCCTGTCCTGATGACAATGGTTTCACAAGACAGGAAGTGAGAGGAAATTTTCAACAACAACAAAGGCAGAAACATTTTTTTTGTGTGTGGGAGTGGGAAGTTAGAAAACCTTTAAAAATTGTATTTTACAGTAATTCTGTTTCCCTGTTGTACATTATAAAGCAGTAGTCTTTAAACTGCGGGCTGGGGCCGGATGTGGCCCTTTGCTTGCTTTTTTCTGGCTTTTGGTGAGCTATTCCACCAACTGACACCAAGGATGGAGCACCATTCCCCCTATTGACACCATTAATGGGGCACTGTTCTTCTCATTGATATCAACAATGGGTCGCTATTCCTCCTATTAAAAGCAATAATGGGAAACTAATGCCAGGGCATTTTCTACTCCCACTGACCACAGTCTGGGCCCGTGCTTTACACCACTGCATCCAATGCTTTGCATTGCACTTGGTGATGTAAGTCTTGTATGCAGCTGCTCGGTCATGGAAACCCATTCCATGAAGCTCTCTACATGCTGTTATTGTGCTAATCTGAAGGTCACATGTAGTTTGGAGGACATTCGCTATTGACAGACTACTGTGCACTGTACACTTCAGCATACGTGGCTGAGTTTCTGTTATTCCCAGTTGCTTCTACTTTGATATAATGCCACTAACAGTTGACCGTGGAATATGTAGTAACAAGGAAATTTCACCGATGAGCTTACTGCACAGGTGGCAACCTATCACGGTACCACGCTTGAATTCACTGAGCTCCTGAGAGCGACACATTCTTTCACAAATGTTTGTAGAAGCAGTGTGCATGCCTAGGTGCTTGATTTTATACACTTGTGGCCATAGAGGTGATTGGAACACCTGAATCCAATGATTTCGAGGGGTGTCCCAATACTTTTAGCAATATAGTGTATGCTTCTTCACAGCAACATGCCTGGTCAGGCTTTATGAAAGCAATCCTGTAGTAAGAGAATATGAAGGCTGACCTTCTCTTCTGAGAATGCTAGTTACCAGGCTGTTATGATGACTAATCTACTTGATTGTCTGGGTTAGTGAGTCAGAGGCACCCAGGAAACGAATATTTTTAATTCCAAAAATGGCATTCTTTATCTTTCTCTCAGTATATAAGGCCTCATGCATAAGGGCATTTTTCCTGCTGCTTTTAGGAGTATCAGGCGCCACTCTGCAAGTGCAGAGTAAATGAAGTTAGGCTTCACTTTGCAAAGAATAATCAATCACGTGCAAGTAAAATGTAAAAAAAATGCATTTTTGCTTGCACATGATTGGAGGATGGAAGTCAGCAGAGCTTTTGCTAATTTCCTCAGCTCTGGAGCAATTGCACTTGAGTGGTGCAACTGCACTTTGCAAAGCGCACAGTCTATTTACCTTTAGTAAAGCAATCCCTTTAACCTATAGAAGCTTTTAGTGACAGGGGAGTTCAGAGGCAGTACAAAAAAACCCAGGGCCAGTGCGTCCTGGAGAATTAGCGTTTTGGAAGAAAAAACGCTTGGTGCCTAAACACTAGGCACGTTTAGTGCTTGAGTGTTTAATTAATTTCACTGGCCAGAATAAATGATTTATTCTGGCCATTGAAATAAATTAATGCCCAATGGCTTGACACAGGTAAATGCATGTAAACGTGGTACACACTTTTACAAGTGACAAATATTTTTTGGCCAAGACTGCTGTCAGTAGGAGGCTTCTAGAGGAATTAAAAAAAAAAAATGTCAATGTGCATGAGTTTCCTGCAAGCGTATATCAAGGCAAAAATAAAAAAAAAATAACAGACATATTTATTCACTGTGTGGGACAGTTAAATATTTTTTCCTTATTATATTATGTCTTTGTCTTCTGGGACTTTCTAATTTACATTGCTGTTTTCTCAATGTACTGATGTACAAAGTACTGTAACGATTTGCTGTGAAATACAAATACAAAAGTGGTCTATAATTACAGAAGTCGTAATAACCCAGCAGTGCACACAGAGTAATGAAATACAAAGCTGTTTAAACACTGACCTCTTTTCCTTTCAGATTAGCCCTCGTTGTGCTAATTTAGCTCTGAAGCACTATTTACTCAAACCCGTTCAAAGGATTCCTCAGTACAGATTACTTCTAACAGGTACATAATGCAGAATCTTTTTTTTTTTTTTTGTCATTTATAGTGTCAGATATCATTTACTGCTTTAAAAACAAAAATTCTGTTTGGTAATAGGTTGTTATATCATTTATAAAGTGTCATGTTGAATAATGTTCTGCCTGACCTGTATATGATCAGCTTGACATTTAGTCCCTTAGGACACTGTAAGTTGAAAATGAAGACTGATTCACATGAGCGTGCAGGGCAATACACATCCCAAATAAATGTATTTTTGCTGGGGGTACAGCCAGGTGTTTACCTTTAGCAGCATTCACTTAGCCTGTACAAATGATTGAGAGGCTGACACAGCTGTCCATGTTTCTTCCCATGTATCTACACATGCTGCAATTGCATGTAGTTAGAATCAGATGAGCATCCCCGAATGCAAACTGTCTGCGCTCAGGACTTCTCATCTATCCCTAACTGCATGTAATTGTATCATGTGTGATTACATGTAAATAGCTGTGGACAATTGCAGCCACTGTCAGCCTGTTATTCTTTTGTACAGGTTCAGCAGCTATAGCTCATCTGAGCGCTGTACAGTCCTGCACTTTTGCGTGAATGAGCCCTAATACATTTTAAATGTTTCAATATATTTTCTGCAGAAAGCAGCATTCTGGCTGCTGACCTCTACTACTAGTGCTGTTATGATATAAAAAAAATGATAATCCATAAAAAATGAATTTCAAAGTCAAGGGCTTATCATTCTTCCTTTTTAAACAGGGAGTAGCAAAAAATGTCAAAGCATCTTCAGCTCTGGTTCACACGTGCATATTCAGATGCGTTTTAGAATGCATTGATTTATATATGTAAAATAACATTCTTTTCTTTTGTGGTCGTTCACATATATGCGGTGCACATGCAGTGTGAATTTAAAGAGTCCGATGCGAATTACAGGCTCATTGACTTAAATTGGAATACTTCTAAAATCACACATCATCAGTTGTGAATATGATTTGAGCTTTGCCAATTTGCATCAGAACCACATCTAAATCGCACTTGAACCGCTGAACAACTACTCTTGAAATTCGCACTGAAAATGGACCTGAAAATCATACCACTAAAGCGGAACTAAGCTATTGGAGCATGCCGGGAATGTCACAATTGCTTGTGCTCTCAACCAAACCAGAAAATTGGTGTCATAAACTGATCACATGTGTAGCACCATGGTAGTTGGGGATCAAACAGAGGCCAAGATGGCAGCTTCCCTGGCTGAAAACGATGAGAGGGCTTAGTTTGGCATTAAAGCGGAACTATACTCGGTCTCCGCTCAAGTGATGTGGTGCACCAGAGCTCCCTGCCGGGCAGCTGGCTTCAGGGTCTCAATTGCCAACCACTGTCAGCTGAATGGGGATGACGTCACTCCCACACATGCACAGGAGCTCAGTCAGATTCGGCATTGACGAATTTGTACAGTGAGCTATGTATACGCAGCTCACTGTACGGCCAGTTGCACATGGGCGTAATAATTTACTGATGTTTATACTTAGAATCTTGTTGATTGTTTGTTGTTTTTTACTCCCACATGCAAGAGGCCTACAAGGGCGGATAGGCAGGTAAGGCTGGCCATACACTATACAATTTTGTGTCCAATTTCTGCCCAATTTCCTTTAGATTTACCTTCAACTATGTAGTGCAAGGGTCTGCCCAAATGGATACAATTGAAAGTGTTGTTTAGGTTTGACCTCATATATGGTTTTTGGTAAATCTAAAGCAAATTTCTCAAGAAAAATTTTATAATGTATGGCCAGCCTAAGTAACTTTAATGCAGCAGAAGAGACAAAGCATATCTCCTCTGCATTAAATGTCCTGCCTCTTCACTCTTTTTATCTTTGTGGCCTAAAGTTTCACTTTAAGCTGGCCATATACTGATGGAAATTCCAATTGCTGTGTTTGGTGTTCCCCGCTCAACAGAAGTTGATTATGTAATCGACTTCTTTCAAATGGATATGTCAGAAAATTTTGTCCAGATACAATGTCCAGGTGGGGGATTCCTCCACCCACCTTGTTTGTATGGATTAAAGAATCTATTAGATTTTTTTTCATTAGTCCACAAAAAAAAAACTAAGCTTGTATGGCTAGCATTAGTTGGAGTTGGTAAGAATATATGGAAAAAGGGAAGGAGATCTGTTTGGAAGAGGGATGTCACCAAAAAAGGAAGGAACCTAGTGTGCCCAGAATAGCATATAATATTATTTTCATTATTTACATTTTTTATTGACTGGGCACAAACAGTACTGCAGACAATACTATGGGGTTTATTTACTAAAGCTGGAGAGTCCAAAATCAGACTCCCGTCTGCATAGAAACCAATCAGCTTCTAACCTCAGCTTGTTCAATGAAGCTTTGGCAATGAAACCTGGAAGCTGATTGGTTCCTATGCAGAAGGGAGTCTGATTTTGGACTCTCCAGCTTTAGTAAATAAACCCCTATGTGTCCAATACTGGTCATACAACCCTCTGCAGGCAGAAGTAGAACAAGTTTAGCTAACACTGACGTTTTTGCAGCAGAGGTTGGAAAACATGCACGTGATACACTGAATTGAGAGAGCACTTAATTGCATAGTGACTGATTGCTGTTTAAGCATTGTCCAATTTAGTTCTGTGTAATTAACATAGGAAATGAACAAGACTTTTTTTTTTCCACCTTGTCCCTTTAGTGACACCACTGGTGTATGTTTTTAGTGCCTGTGAAATTGGAGATTAGTTTATTCAGCCTTCTTTTGAATTATTCTAGCCAAAACTCAACATCAAAGCAGAACGGTTCATTGGCTTGGAGGGGCAGAGGCCTCTCAGCTGGCTCTGCAGCCTGTAGCCTCTCCGCTCAATAAGTATCCACTTTACGTGTTAACCTTTGTGCCACATCAAAGCAGGCATGTTCAGGAAAGGCATGAGCTTTGCATTAATATGAGAGCTTTGCATTTTGATGTGATGATAGATTTATTTGTTCTTCTCCTGCTCCTTATTTCCTGGCATTTCCTCTATTAAAAGAGGCAGTGGAGGTTCTAAGACTTCAGACACTTGTAGTACTTTGCAAACATCTTTACAATTTCTTTTTTTTTTCCAAGTTAAATTGCCTGGAGTTACAGTTTTGCATGTTAAGTTGTAACTTCAGGGTGAATAACAGTCAGCTTTTAATTCCGCTATGTATTACGTAATTACACAAAAACAAACCTGGGTTAACATTGCGGTGCGGGATACCGCATGTAATTCACACAGGAATCATACTGCATTTCTGTGTGAATTACATGAAAATGTATGTGCGGTGCCATTTGAGCCATACATTGTTTATGGCTCAAATCGCATCTCACCCTCACCAAAAATGTATGGGACCCGTTTTTTAATGCACACCTGAATCGCATTGCATGGCTGTTCTTACCTATGTGATTCAATTTCTGGCAGTCGCATCATGTTTTGCAATCTGTTTTGGGGTGTCATTAATTTATCATTGACACTCACACCAGATCGCATGAATGCGTTGCAGGAAATGCACAGGATTTGCAGAGTTTTCCGCACTGCATTGGTGTGAACCTTGGGCTAAATGTATTTTTACATGCAAATATAACTATCAGAATTTTAGCCTCAATCCATAAAGCTTTAACTCAAGTTTAGGGCTCATTAATTTTGACCATATTACTGTATTTTCCTAATTTCAGTGGCTGAATAATGGTCCCTTATTCCAATGTGTTTACTTTGTGATTTGAGACTAATGTTTTAATATGAGCCTCCTGAAAAATAAGGGGTCTATTTATTAAAAAAAAAAACAAAAACATAGCCCTTTGTCCAGCATGTACTGTGCAAATTTAATTTTGTTTGTATAAATAAACCCTTAAGGTTCAGTTCACACTGCCGCGACTTGGGATCCGACTTGTGAGACCCCCAGTCGCATGACATGTGAAATCCCATGTTAGTCAATAAAAACTGTCTTAATTAGCACTACTGAAGGTTCCTGTACTACTTCAAGGCGACTTCTATCCGACTTGTGCCCATAGACTTTAATGGAAGTTGCCTCTAAGTTGGATCCTTCTCTATATTGATGTGATTTGGATCCGAAATTACAGGAAGATTATCCAGGCAAAGTCACATTGCATGAAATTAGCCCATCAAAGTTATACCTAAGTTGCCAAGAAGTCACCTGGCAAAGTTGCATTGTAAGTTGTTCTACATTCAGGTCTCAGTAGCGTGAACCAAGCCTAAAACTCAGACAAGTGTTGTTAAGATAAAATGTGTAAAACCAAGAGCTACAAGTTTGAATTACATAATTTCCTTCACTAATCTTGGGCAGATGCCCTCTTAAATTGAAAGATATTAAAGCAAGGAAGTGATATGGACACCACTTTTGAATATGCCAAGCTTAGAAAATATTTTATTACAAATTATCAGTCATGAAAAATTCTGTAATACAAAACACACCCTCCCTAGAGTTGTAAAATTTCCAGAAATGTTGAAGCCATGGGAAAAGAGTGTTTTTCCCTGTTTTTTTCTTCAAAATGAATATTTCTGAAAAATTAAAAAAAAAAAAAACTTCAGTGTACGAGTGTTCAGTATAGTCTTGTGTTCAGAGTATAGTCAGTGTTCAGAGTAGTCTTATAAATTGAAAGTCATTTTGTTACACTGCAAATTGCAGCTTTGCCTCTCAGCAGAAATTGCACTGTGGAAATGTTTCCAAATTCTAGATCAGGGTTTCTCAACCTTTCTTACCTTTGAGGAACCCCTGGCAAAAAGTCTGAGATCTCATGGAACCCCTGAAATTATTTTTGTATGTACAGCTCATGGAACATTGATGTGATCAGCAAGCTGTAGATATAACAACATTATTCTTTGAGCATTAAACAATGGGATAAATATTAAAATTTACCTCCTTAATGTGAAACTTGTGCTTGCTTTTTTTGCTAAGATGCTCAGTTCTGAGCCTGAATTAATTAGTTTCATTCAGTAACAATGATTGCAAATATCAATTAAATACATTGGTATTCGCAATCATAATGTGTTAAAAAAAAAATCCTGATCACTTGCCCAGAGTAGTTCATTGTTACTATGGTAACATTGTATTGCTTTGGTCACACTACATGCTTTTCTGCAACATTTCCATTGAAGTCTATGGAACTAAAAACGCAACTTTTTGCATTAAAAAAAGTCTGACCCTTTCCAAAAAACGCACCGTTGTGAACATGTCCCATAGGTAATCATGATAAATGGACTGTACTGCGTTTCTGCAAAACGCTGCAGAAAATGCTTAGGTATGAACCTAGGTTTAGATAAAGTGGGGAAAGATTAGAACTCCTGTCAGGTTTTTACTGCTATCCAGAGCTCCATTGAAGAGATTTACACCCTTAATTCCTGGCCTGCTTACTTCTGTTTCAGAAAGTGAAAACAAAAATGCAACAGGGACACAGACAGAAATAACAATCTGGCAGGGGTTCTACCTTCCCTACTCCACTAAAGAAAAACATTTTTATTTCTGTTTGTGTTGCTGAGAGAATTCCCATCATTTACTGTCTGATAAAACTATATCAGCAGGACAGGAAGTGAGGGGAAATCTCTTACAGAACCCCGGATAGCAGTATAAAATCTGACATTCTAAAGCTTCTCCATTCTACCCAAAACTAACGCTAGCCATATAATATACAATTTTCTTGAGAATTTTGCTTTAGATTTACCAAAAACCATATAACACAAGGTCAAAATTAACAACACTTTCAATTGTATCCAATTAGGTAGGCCCTTACACTACATAGTTGAAGGTAAATCCAAAGGAAATTGGACAGAAAATTGTATAGTGCATGGCCAGCCTTAGGCTAGCCATACATGTTTACGATTTTGCTCTTTTAGCCCTGTGATCACTTTTTGTCTGACAATTTTCCACCTGGCTCCTTTGATTTCTCAGTTGAAGTTTGCCAAGCTGGGTGGTGCTGCTGGGCCACCCACAGATCAAAGTTTTGGAGATTTCTGCTTCCTGCCATGCATGACCAGCTTAAGAAACAAAAGTTTTTGTGGATATACAGTTTAATTTCAATTTTTTTGAAAAATGTAATTATGCCAACATGTTCTTATTGAAAAGGTTTAATTTTTTGATTCTTGCTGTAACAAAAAGCACTGAATATGTCAACAGCTATTTATATCCAAGGCCATGACTACATTTCAGTTTCTGCTTTCATCTACTGTTTGTTTGATTTAGGGCTGTCTATTTAAACAACATAGTGTTATTTTTCATTAAATTTATAAAGTGGGAGGGTGGAGTTTTACTCCCTGACTGACCACAGTTGGCGATGTAATGCCAAGTGTGCTATCTCTGCTGTGCTACTAAATGTTAGACAAGGTCTGGAGAGGCTGCATAAGCAGTCCCTTGCTAGTATTGCCCTCTAGTGGTCACAAAGTAAACTTATGCTATTTTGGAGCATTCATTTGTGCAGTGATAGTGGGCATATACAGTAGGTGTACTTGTAACACAATACTGCTTGAATTGGAAAAATGAGTTGGATCTCTCTAAACCTTGTAATCAAATCTATTAGGGGACGCAAACCCTTAGATACTGACCCATCAAGTTAATACCCAAGTATCAATAAATAAATGCATTGTGCATTTACACATACATTGCTTTGATTTCCATGGTGGAGAGCAGGCTTCCTATTTAAATAGAGACCTTCAAACGTGGTAAAGCAGTGGATTATCACACAAACAAACGCATAAGGACATTCTTTTTAATTAAAGAAGTCATTGTGATCTGGTGAGTGATTTATTCTTATGAGCATAGCTGGTGGATTTTTAGTGCCGGTTCACATATTTGCGGTTTTGATGTGGTTTGAAAAACATCCAATCCGCATGACATGTGAAATAACACTGCTTCCTATGGTGCCTGTTCACATATGTCCAGTGCACTGGCAGTGCGGATTCAGTATGGTTTGAAAAAGAGTCCTGTATGATTTCTGAGCAGTGCCTTCAGGTTCAGGTGTGGATTACAGGCTATTAACTTCTATGGGAACTGTTTCTAAACCGCATATGTGTGAACAGGATAAAAATATTAACTAACTCTGTCCTGAACATGATGTAAACCTGACATGAACAACTACTGTGTCAATTAGCTGTGAAACCTGAGCTTCAATCTGTACTGCACATGTGTGAATCAGTTCTTATTTTATTTCTGGTGGAGGTGGAACACATAAAGATTTTTTGAAGATACACAAGTGAAAATAACTTTTTGTTATACACAATATTCATGTATACAGTTGTACTGTATGTGTAAATGCACAATTCATTTATTTATTGATACTTAGGAATAACTTGATGGGTCAGTATCTATGGGTTCGTGCCCTCCCCTTAAGGATTTGATTACTAACACTTTGGATGGATTTGGTACATGCACAGGGAGGCAGCCTTTATTTTACGTTCACATTGTTATTTTAGATATCTATATAGTTAACAATCAACATATCAATTTGTTTGTTTGAGTTGGCGCAGAGGCACTAGGTCTCCCTAAACCTTGCTCTGACAGATATTAGAACAAATGGGCAGCACAGTGGCTATGGGCAGCACAGTTTCTAAAATGTTAGCACTTCCGCCTGGCAGTACTAGGGTCGTTGATTCAAATCCCAACAACGGCACCACCTGCCTGGAGTTTGCATATTCTCCGTGTGCCTGTGTGGGTTTCCTCCGGGTACTCCGGTTTCCTACCACACTCCAAAGACATGCTGGTAGGTTAATTGGATCCTGTCTAAATTGGCCCTAGTATGTGTATGTATGAATGTAAGTTAGGGACCTTAGATTGTACACCCCTTGAGGGTTAGGGACTGATGTGAATGTACAATATATATGTAAAGCGCTGCTTAAATGGACAGCGCTATATAAGTACCTGAAATAATAAACAAATAAGGTATACAATACAATACTAACTGTGTTCTATTTTAAACAGAAGGAATGTTTATTAGAATCATATCACAGTGTACATGTAAATCACAACAGGGTTACACAATGATAGATGAGCACAAACCACAATACAAATGTATGGGAGTAGAAAAATAGAACAGCAGCACAGAACATAAAGTGATATCCACATGTTAAATCAAATCAGGCATATTGTAGTTTACATCATTTTCTCATATATAAATATATTATGAATTATTTATTTGGGAGAACAGATTATTCCAAAGAATCAAATTAGAGCTGATGTACCGCAGCTGCTGGCACCTACTGGATGTTCTTTTTAACAATTACATTTTTTTCAGATTTAAATGTCTCTTCAAAGGGATTTACAATAAAATTTGTGTAAAATATTTTAAACCTAGTGTTTGATGAGACAAAATGAATGGGTACCAATAAAGTCCTAATTAGGAGTATTTATGGCTGTCAATATAAGTTTTGTATATGGATGTACATACCAGGAATTACTCCATGCTCCCTGTATAGATCTCCCCTTTATTCAGTCTAGTGTTTTTAAATGGCCATTGTCCATTCTAAGACCACTCATATTTTTTCCCCTGCATTTTTTCATCTACAGATTATCTAAAGAATCTTTCAGAAGAATCATCAGACTACAGTGACACACAAGGTAATTACTGAGCACGTTTATTTTAATGAAATATTACATGCATTTTTGTAATAGGGGAATATAAGAAGCCTTCTCTTGTCTTCTGGTTTGTGTATTTGGGGCTTGAAAAAAAGCTGTTTTTTTTATCTTTATGGTATTATACAACAGACCTGCTGTTAGGGACTAACTGCCAAATTCCAGTGATCCTATTTTAATGCCTTCCTTATAAATATAAAATAAAGTCACCTAAATGGAGTCACAATTTGATACTATGGGGTTGATTTATTAAAATTGGGGAGTGCAAAACCTGATGCAGCTGTGCATTGAAACCAAGCAGCTTCCAGGTTTTATTGCCAGAGCTTAATTGAGCAAGCTGAATTGCTGATTTGCCACCATGCACAGCTGCAACAGATTCTGAGTGTTCCAATTTTGGTAAATCTCCCCTACGTGACTGAATTAAAGGATAAGTTCACCTTTCTTACCATATTTAGGGTGTAACATGTTCAGCAGCAGACCTTTCTCCCTCCAATGCCCTCACCATACTCACTGCCACAATTCAAGGAGAGCACCTCCATGTGGGGCTCCACCAACACGGCCGCATCATTGATTCACAGATCAGATAAACTACAAGTACTGACTACACTTTTATCTGCAGGAGACCTGCATGGCGCCAGCAATATGCTGATCGCTGGTGCAATGCTTTTCAGGCTTCTAAAACAAAAATCGTAAATAAACATTTTTTGCCTGCAAAAAAAAAAAGTGCATGTATTATTATTTGCAAAAAGGTGAACTTGTTCTTTAAGTCTATTTTTAATCTTGGCCATCATAATATAAGATTCCAGTTTATCTGCTTCATTATATAAAAACAACCCACTTGCCATAAATGTACAGATATTTGTAATGCCTGTTGATTTCTGGTAGTAGGAGGTAATCTTTTATTTTTACTCCACTTCAGCTGCCCTGAGTGTCGTAACTGAGGTTGCTAATCACGCCAATGACATCTTGAAACAAGGGGTAGGTGGTGCCACAAATGTATATGGATGTAATTTTGAAAAAAAACTATTGATCCATTACCCTTCCAACAAAGATACACTGTACACTTGTATATAATGACCGCAAATCAAATTCTATTGTACTAGCACATAACACATATTTCCATTTAATTTTACATTTTAAAAAATCCATCTCATTTGATAGTATCCCATTCAACCTGATTGAGAATTCTCACCACATCTGATTGAAAACAACATCATGTGAGTTCAGATTAAAAAAGTTTGTACAAAAATCACAATTTGTACTGTCAGATTGGAACATGTGTGATGATTTGAGTGCTATGGGTCGCTGCCCTTTTCACCAATGTACTTGACCCTGTTTTACTGAATAAACCTGATATTTTTTTAATTACAACCCTATATAGTAGAATAGCTTCCATCGAATTGTGAACCTTCGATAAGAAACATGTCGTGCATATGATAAAATTATCTCTCCCAGAGGAAATCACATTTGAGACCAAAGTATAACTAAAGGCAAAACATCTTTTTTTTGTTATGGACAGAGTAGAGAAGTATTACACCATGTTTCAGCTTTTATTGCTGTCTGTGCAGGGAGATTCTCCCTCTCTATTGGGCCCGCTTATCATTACTGCCGAAATGAAAGTAATTATAATCCCAAATTTTGGATTATCCCCAGAACAGTAATACAGTGGAAATCTTCCAATGGAGACACTAGTTCAACCAGGGATTCCCTCGCTTTGTAGGAATTTCCACAAACTTCCTGTTTTGGCTATGGACAATGGGGCACAGATGAAAAAAAAACAGGGGTTTTGACCCTCTCTTACTCTATTCAAAAAAAAAAAAAAATCTACCTTTAGGTCTGCTTTATTATCCAGTATGGATGATACCATGAACCATTTAAATAATGCCTTCGTATACTGTATAGTGTAATTTTAGTGCTATCCTTACTGAAGTCTTTAAGCCTGTTCAAGTATAATATTGTATTTACACACTGGGAGCTTCAAAAATATGAAGGCATGTTGTACATTTTCTGAACTAATGGTGAACAGTTGAAACCGCAACCATATGAACAAGTTGATGTAAAAGGGACGCAGAACAGGACTCATCTATATTCCTTAGACTAATATGCAATAGAGTCTGCTATAACACTTTTGCAGTTAACCAAATTCTGATCCATTTCTGCACAGAATACGCTTGTTTGCTAATCCCGCCATAGTGAGGATGTTACTGTATTCACCTACAGTTAGCACTTGGTTAACAATGGTTAGCACTTCTGCCTGGCAGTACCAGGACCGTTGGTTCAAATCCCAACCATGGCACCACTTGCTTGGAGTTTGCGTGTTCTCCCTGTGCCTGCGTGGGTTTCCTCTGGGTACTCTGGTTTCCTCACACACTCCATAGCCATGCTGGTAGGTTAATTGGCTCCTGTGTAAATTGGCCATAGTATGTGTGTGTATGAATGTAAGTTAGGGACATTAGATTGTACACCCTTGAGGGTTAGGGACTGATGTGAATATGTGTGTGTGTGTGTGTGTGTGTGTAAATTGACGGCGCTATATAATCACCTATATTAAATATCTGTCATGTTCTTTTTAGGACAACTTTCAAAAGCTGATGCAGATCCAGTATAGTTTAAATGGCCATCATGAGATTGTGCAGCCTGGAAGGGTATGTACAGAAAACTAAGTTCTAGTTCATTAGCAAATCATCTAAAAACATTTGTTATATTACAAACCATGCTTCCCTATACTGCTTCGTATTCATGTAATGCACCTACAGAAAATGTCCTCTGTAGTAAATAAAGTCCTTGTTATGTTGTGGTGGAGTACATTATGTAAGTAATCAGGTTGTGTTCCTCACACTGTGTTTCATTGTTCATTCTGCTTGCTCAGGTCTTTCTAAAAGAGGGGACTTTGATGAAGCTTTCCCGGAAGGTTATGCAGCCACGAATGTTTTTTTTGGTGAGTTGCCAAATTAGTGTAAACATGTTTGAGGAAACCTCCGGTGACCATAAACAATCTTTTTGTGCAGAGTCAACTGCCTACCAAAAGCAGGGAGCAGTATGTCTTGTTGTGTAGTTTTATGTAACTCTTTTGGTACCTTTTTAGATAGAGAATTGCCTTGTATAGGAAACCTGTATTGAGAGAAATATGTAGGCTGCTAGTTGCTTGGCTGTGTCTGGTTTATTTATGTCTGATATCTTAAGTTTAGTACACACAATCAGAAAGTCATACAAAAAAATAACGCTTTTGAAGTGATTGTACGATGATCTGATCGTTCGTACACAGCTTTCGTCTGAAATTAGGGACAAGAACGAAAATGTTTCTCATACAATACCAGATCGTATGATTTTCATTTAATTAATACAGTTTTTGTCTGAAAATACAATACATTATTATTATTATACAGTATTTATAAAGCGCCAATAGTTCGCTCAGCGCTGTACATTACAAAGGGGGACAGAACATGTGACAGAATACCAATGCAATGCAAAACATGAGGGGATTGAGGGCCCTGCTCTTTCGAGCTTACAATCTAGGAGATACATGACATCACTTCCAAATTTTCTTTCTGTTGTACAAGAATTTTCATAAGTTTAGTAATTTATTCACTTTCGATATGAGACTAGCATGCAATAAAAAACGGACAACCATTCGTCCAATATTCTGATCGTCTGTATGGCGCTTAAGTCATCAGCCTGAGTCAAGCACTCAGCAAATGAAGTTTGAACTCCTGATCTGCATACTTGCTTGGATTTGAGTGACTAATGAAATACAAGTCAGCAGATCAACATTACAGCCAAGCAGTTAGCACTGTTAAAAGAAGAGCTCACTAATGACAGCCCACATATTCTTGAAGTATCGACTTCCATGAATTCAAAGCTAATCCTTCATGGACACTTGCTTCATAATTCAAAATGGAAGAACTTTTTTTGTCAGTTTTGGATAATGGTAGAATACAAGCAAATAATTCCTTTAGCCCTGTTTCACACCAGTGCGACTTGTCATGCGATTTGACAGTTCAAAATGGCATGACAAGTTGCACCCTATTGTCAGCACCACTCAAATCGGTGCAACTGATTTTGAAAATAGTTCCTGCACTATTTTTGGCGATTATAGGTGCGACTTGCATAGACATCTGTTTATGAAGTCGCACAGATGTCAGGAAAGTCGTACCTGAAATCACACTGACCTGTGGCTTTGAAACAGTGCTAATTCAAGTGAAGTAGCTTGATTTCAAAGTCGCATTCAGTGTGAACCAGGGCTAAGACACTTTTCGCCAGCTGTGAATTTGATGATTACATTAATAACCCATAAATGTTTTCAAAGCTATAGAAGAAGAAGTAGAAAAGTAAACTTAAACTTTGGTCAGTAAAAAAAAAAAAAAAAAATTGTGCTCCTTTTTTTTTTTTCTTTAAGTGGTGCATATTATGTGCATTGAAGGAAGCCATTACTGAGTGAAATATGGGAAATGCTAGCTTCCTGGCTGTCTCATTTCAGTATGAAGCAGAAGTCAGAATAAAATCACAACTGCTTAATCTGCATAATTGTTCTGGTTTAGGGATTTAGGGAATCACCCTGACAGCCCAAAAGATAGCATTATATTTTGTTTTCACACATTCTATCAGAACAATGAGATATTTGTTACATACCATTTTACAGATATGTAATAAACATTAACTTTGTTGTTTTTCCTCAAGTTCAATGATGCCTTGTTGTACACAACCCCGGTTCAGTCAGGGATGTTTAAACTTAACAACATGCTTTCTTTGGCTGGAATGAAGGTGAGAATTCATTATTTGTCAATGATGTCAACATTGTTAGTTTTGAGTGTTATTTTAATATTAAACATATTTATTTTAAAATCTAATTGCAATTTGTATTTCTAGGTGAGGAAACCAACGCAAGAGGCCTATCAGAATGAGCTAAACATAGAAAGTGTGGAGAGGTCCTTCATTTTGTCAGCCAGGTATTGAACCATGCATGCAGTTCTAGGGCTTTTCATTGAAAATATGGAATTCTGTTTCTGAACCTGTCAATCATCAGGGGTCTCTTATTACTAATTTATTATTGGGACCCAGTGGCTTTTCTTAAAGCCCAATTCCAGGTCTCTGTCACTTTAAAATAGTTTGTTTGGCCCAAGCTGGTCCATACAAACTATTACCTTCACTAACAGATAAACCTACTGGGAGCGCTGTATAAACTTTATATAGCATCAGCTACATAGGGTATACAGTACTGTATTCCAGCAGCAGTACAGGGAATTCCTGTCCCACCCCGGGAACAAAATTGAGTCAAGCTGAGTGCCGCTTAGCCATTCACAGAAAGCATTGCATTTTCTGAATAAATACAAGGCTTCCCCTGAATGAAGTGGAGAGGTGGCCAGATGATGTCACGATCTCCACCTCAGCTAATCAGGGGTAGCAGCAACAAAAGTCCCCATACCACTGTCGGGAAACACAGCACTCATATAAACTGTATGTAGCTTTAGCTACATACATTATACAAACGCTCACAATGGATGCATCTGTTAGTGAAGTTAATAGTTCATTTGGACCAGCTTGATCCAAACAAACTATTTTAAAGTGACAGCTGGAGTTAGACTTTATGTAAGAAGAAAATCTAAACAGTGCCTGTGTAGAGGTTCATGTGTCAGGAGCCAGCAAAAATTCAAAAATAAATAGTATGGACACACTGGGAAGGTTGGTCTCTTCACAGAGTCCTCAGCAGAAGTCCCGTAAGTAGTGAGAGTGAAAGGGGGGGAGCCAGGCACTTGGGCAGCTCTTGGAGGAGTGGAGACAAACTCTATCAGACCAAAAACAGAATAGGAAAGTGCCTTTAAGTGCAGCAGCAATGTTTACTGTAAAAGAATGCAGTTTAAAAACACAATGATAGCCGATACGAGGCTCATCTGAATTCCCAGTCCTGCAAGCTGACCTACAGCAATGGAACTCGATCACCAGAAAAATGGATGCCTGGCTTCTAGAAACCAGTGTGCGGTGCATGGTGCGGAAATTATGTCAAACAGTGGGGGGCAGTAATGTGTTTTGGAGCATGCACTTCTTTGTCAAACCAATTGGTTTGGACAAAATTTAAAAAATACCAATTGGTTTGGACAAAGGAGCGCATGCTCCGAAACTGGTTACCGTCCCTGACCGCGTGACATCACTTCCGCCCCCTTGCACTCTGCGCTAGTCCCGGGAACAGGGTGGCCATCTTGCCGGTGACCGAATTCTATTGCTGCAGGTCAGCTTGCTGGACTGAGAATTCAGCTGAGCCACAGAGACAGGACACACGGCAGTTTTTGACCATATTGATGAGCCTTATATCTATTATTTTGAGAGTTTTACAATAAACCTTGGTGCTGCACCTAGAGGCACTTTTCGATTATGTTTTTACCAGCAAAATGTCACCTGCGGATATGGTGCAGGAACAGATGGTGCATTCTACTCTTTCATATATGGTAAACAACCCCGTGAGCATAGATTAATCGTTGTCACGGTTTTTAGGTTTGTACTCACATAAAAAGTGACTGCATTGCCTGTTCACTATTTGTGCCTTTTTGCCTTCCACTGAGATTGTGTTTTTGCTAGGTGGAAATTAGCACATTAGCATGCATTACAGATGGCTAACTCGCTTCTTTAAACAAGTGGTGGAAATCTTTTGATGGATTGTAGTCCAAACTAAAGCTTGCTTCACTATCACACTATTAAAGTTTAAGTATGGATAAAGGTCATCATCATGAAATCAAGCTGTGTTTATGGAAGAAATAGACAGGGCCATTTTGCTGAACCTTTGCAATCTGTAGTGTGTCATTGTTGAACTTTTTCTGAAAATATTAGTTGACTGGCTGTCATATTGATTATATGATTTCAATTAATCAGTTGACTAACCTGGAACAATTATGCAGGAAGCCAGACTGCCTGATTTGCAGGCTTCTTCCAGGTAATTCATTTGGAAAAGGTTGGAGTCAGAGTATCTGCATGGCTCATAGCTTTATATCTACAGTGTAAAATAAACGTTCCTGCTGCCTCTTACTGCTAGCATCAGGAGATTTAGAGGTTTCTCCATTGTACTGCTCATTGTTCTCTTATCTGGAGGCTCTGAGGTGAGGAAGCAAAGTCCTGCCTCCACCAAGATGGCCACCTCCAAACCAAGACATAGTACATAACAAGACATGGCAAATTGGCAATCTGTAAAGATCAACTGCAGGGAGACCACGGGCAATATTGGTGACTTCACTTTCACCCTCTGCTTGTCTTTTTTTGGCCACTGTTTTCACAGTTTAGTTCTACTCTAGACTTTTTTTAAAGTAATCATTGACCATTCACTTGGAGACTTTGACACCCTTGGCACTGCAATTTTTGTTATCTGCAGTTTGCTATGACATTTAATACTCACATAATTAGGCACTTATAATTTTACTGCATAGAGTGTAGAATAATTTTACTGCATAGAATGTAGTTTACCAGTGAGGTCTTTTTCTGCAGAAATGTTTTATATTCAGATCATGTTAGATGGAATGCCCAGGTAAAGCATTGATTGCTTTCATTACAGTTCTGCTACTGAAAGGGATGATTGGCTTGAAGCAATTTCCACAGCAATTGATGAATATGCCAAAAAGAAAACAACCTTCAACCCAACAAAGAGTCAAGAAGAGGTAAGTCTTGAATGATTACTTGAATGTTAAGGTTGTGATATAAAAACTTGGATGGCCCACAATTTCCTTCATTTAAACTGTGACAAGACTGAAGTCATGCTTATTGGCACCCCCCATCAATTATGTAAGGCCAGTACTGGTAGCATATCTATAGATGGCACTGTACTTGAGCTTCAGTCTAAATTGAAAAATCTTGGGGTGATATTTGATGCTATGTACAAAATGTTGTCATCTTTTCTTCCACCTGAGAAACATTGCTTGGCTGCGTCCTATGCTATCATACACTGTAGCTGAAAAGTTGATCCTTACATTTGTGTTCTCCCACCTTGACTATTATTTATTTATTACAGATACTTATATCGCACTGTCAATTTTACGCAGCGTTTTTACATACATACATATATTTATATATATATATATATATATATATATATATATATATTGTATATATATTATATATTGTACATTTACATCAGTCCCTAACCCTCAAGGAGCTTGCAATCTAAGGTCCCTAACTCACTTTCATACACACACATACTAGTGCTGATTTAGACAGAAGCCAGTTAACCTCCGAGCATGTCTTTGGAGTGTGGGAGGAAACCAGAGTACCAGGAGGAAAACCCACGCAGGCATAGGGAGAACATGGAAACTCCAGGCAGGTGGTGCCGTGGTTTGGATTTGAACCAACAACCCTAGTACTGCCAGGCAGAAGTGCTAACCATTTAGCCACTGTGCTGCCTGCTGACTACTGCAATGCTCTACTTGTGGTGTACCTAAATCCACTATTAATTGATTTCAATATGTACAAAATTCTTCAGCCAGAATCCTGACTAGGTCTGGTACAAGTTGACCATATTACCCCTATCTTGGAGTCCTTGCACTGGCTACCCTTCAGGTTTCGCATAGATTTTAAGATCCTGTTACTCACTTATAAGGTTGTTCATGGCCTAGCACTCCATTATCTGTCTGGATTTTTATCAACTTACTCCCCCACTTGTAACCTCCGCACCTCAAATTCTGGTCTTCTGTGTGTCACCCCTACTCACCTACACTCGATGGGAGACAGAGCCTTCTCCTGCTGTGCCCCGAAACTCTGAAATTCACTTTCATTTAACATCAGAGTCATCTTCTCTAAACTTATTCAAATAAAATCTAAAAGCTTTTTTCTTTAGACAAACTTTCATGTAACAGTCCCTTTTTTCCTTTGTTTTATTCTGCGTATTTCTTATGTTTTCTATGTAAAGCGATTTGAGAAGTTACCTTTAAAGGCTCTATATAAAAAAGTTATTTTTTATTATTATAAGGTTTATTGACAATTTTTCTTAAGTAAAAAACAGAATGCAGGACGGGAGCACTGTGAGGTAGTAAAGGATAGAGGAAAAACAGTAGAAAAAGCATCATGAGACTGGTTATTGGTTGTGGTTTTGGTGGATTACAAAGTAGTGGATATATAGGTGATCTGAGTAGTAGCTTCCTGAAATAATTAAAGAGGAACCATACTGCTATTCACAAAGTACACTCTAACCTAGTAAGGCCAACATATGGTGCATAGAAGAATTAGTTGAAATGGTGAAATTGCCACATCCTGTGAAAAAACATGATCTGTATGTCTGGCCCACATCATTGTATGTGCAATATGGTACATATGTAGAGATCTGTGGGTGTACATATTTTTCAGCATGCAAAGAGTCCCTGAGCAGTTGGGAGACTGATTGTCTAGTTGGCATAGACCCACCCAGAGTGACTTCAGTGCCTCTAAACATTAACAGTTGGGTGAATCTCACAAGCATTAATACAAGATGCACACATTTTCCTTAGAGTTTGTGTAATAAATTAAAGTGATTTTAACCACTTCCCGTCTGCCCCATATACATAAACGGCCGGACGGGAACAGTGCAGGAGCGGGTGGCCGTTTATAAACGGCCTCCTCATTCACTGCCTGTGTGCACTCCCTGGGAGTTCCCGATCATGTGATCACTAATCGGCCAATCAGTGATTACATGAATAGTAGTAAGCAAGATTTCACTTCCTGACATCATTGCTTATTAGTAGTGATATCTGTGAATGATCACAGAG